GTAGGGATTAGTGACTTTGGGGGCACACCAGGCCCCAGCTCTGCTAAGTTTTCAATTCCCTGAACTGAACCAGAAACCAAACTGGCCTGTAGGCAGAGCGGGGAGAACAGGGCAAGTCCCTGTGACTCAGACCCTTTCTGAGAGGGGACTGGGGAAGGCCGTCAGTGCTATGGCCACAGCTGTGCGTCAGGGCGAGGGCTGCTGCTGTTTCTGGTCACCTCCCGGCGAGGGCTGGCAAACCTCTGTGCGTCAAAACCAGTAGGGAATTTGGGTCCAGCAAGAGCCACGTCAGAGTAGTGGGAGGAAAGGTTGGCTCTTCAGCCCTTGTGCAAAGTTTATCTATAACTTCTGGGTATTTCCCTAGATTTTTCTTTCCAGACTTCCAGTGTTCCTCCCTTCATACAAATTGTGCGGTGGTTGTTTAGCCCAGGGCTGAGGTAGAGGCATGTGTCATTTTGTGTACCTAAGGCTGTCAGGAAAAGACTCATGGCTTCAATTCTGTTTCAGTGCCTGCTTTGCTGTGTCCTGTGTGCTGATTGCATATGGTGCCAGTAACCCAGACTGTAAGTATGCCTTTCTGTGCTGAATTGGAAAGGTTTTGGGACTGCTGTGCTGCCGAGAGGCTCGGTTCTGAGACGCAGATAAACCTGCACAGAGCTGCGTGCTCTGACTGTAACCTTTCCAGTGCTGTACCAGGGTCATGCTGGGGACACAAGTCAAGCATGTCCTGGCCTTTGAGTTCAGTGGCTCTGGGGAGGGCTGTTTTTGCAACCGTAAGTGCTTGGCCCTTTCTGTGCTCTGCGTCTGAGATAGCCAGGTCTCAGTTTTGCTTTTGGGCAGGGCCAGGTGCCATAAATGAGTAATTCCAAACAAGTTCATAGCTTCCTCAGAGTTAGGAAATAGGTAATTGCACGCAGTATGTAATCAGTTCTTCCAGGTCCAGGGATGGATGGAGCTTGCTCCTCAAGACCAGATAGTGAGGTGGCAATTTTAAAATTGGTTCTTGAAAGTAGATCGGCCTTTAAGATCCATTCAGACAAGCTGCCTCAGCAAGACTTCATTAGAGAAAAGAGACCTATCCGTCCTGGAGCGAGAAGATCCCATCCTGGCTGCTGCCTCAGGGCAGAGCCCATGTCCTTCCTCACTGTGTGACCGGGGCGATCGGTGTGTGGCTGGATGATCTGAGCCAGGTGCAACGCGGCACTTTCTGAGGGTGTTGGTTCACTGAGGCTTCACGTGTCAGGACCAAAACCTGGAGGGCTCTAGGGTTTCTTCTCCCTCTTCACCACAGTAAGTGTTCTTGGGCTTTTCTTATCGTTGCAGCTCTGTCTGTGCTGATATTCATTGCGCTGGCTCTGAATGGCTTTGGTGGGATGTGCATGACCTTCACATCGCTTACGGTAAGTGAAGAATGATTACGTGACTCTACTTTATCCCTCACTATGGCTGCGAGCTGGGCTATCAGGAAAGAACAAAGTGGATCTTTTGCCTGTGGCTTGAGTAGCACGTGTTTTTATTTGGGTGCAGATAAAAAATCGGGTGCACTCTTATATCTAAAAGACTGAATACTAGCTGGTTATTCTAAGTTGTGGGGTTTGGTCTGTGCCTTGCTACCTGCATCTCAGGTGAAGGTGAAAAGTGTTTTTGTGTTGAACTCAACTTGCTGTGTGCCTGTATGCACAGTGCTCAGCTATCTGGGACAGGACAGGGGCAGGTTGCACATGTGTTTGCACTGGATTTAGCTTTCACATACTGAAGAAAGAACCAGCAGGGCACAAACCCCTTGCAGCCAGATAGGACCAGCTTTTTATAAGTGCCGACTAACTGCTGGGCTGCTGATGAGATTAACAGCCCCAGGATTGTTTGGGGCAGGGAGAACTAATACAGCCCGCTTCTCTCTGCACGTGACTGTATCGCGTCTCTCCCCAGGAGAATGGTTGGTTGTTCTTGGGCACAAAAGCTTCTGCTCTCATAAGTGCCTTCCAGGTTTTCTTAGAAATGCTGAGTTGTTGAATGCACCCAGCTCCATCTGCATAGACTGCTTAGATCTGTTGAGTTAGTCCATTGATTGCAAGCATCAGTCAGTGGCTGTCAGCTGGCTTTGTGCATTTTGGGGTTCTTGTTGCCTGGAGATAGAAGCAATATCGTTCTCCAAGTAGCTGCTTTGTTTTCTGTCTCGTTATCCTGATCCTTGTCAATGTGGCTGAAACAGGGCTGAGTGGAAAATCTCCCAGAAAACAGTCTAGGAAACACTGATGTTTCTTGGTCTGGGTTGAAAACTTTATCCATCACCTTGAACTTGCTGCTGAAGTGGAACTTGCTGTTAAAGTTAAACTTTCTGTTAAGGTTGTTTCTGATTTAATGTGAGTTAGGCACTGGCTGAACTCCTGAGACCGAAATTTGACCGAGGCTGGGTTTACAGATCTCTTTCAAAACTCTGTGTAGATGTTGGGGGTCTCATTTGTATGTAACATCCCTTTCTGGAAGCCTTGGCCATAGTCCCAAAGAACTATGGGGTAAATGTTGTCCTGCCATGCTTCAAATAAAAGTAAGGAAAAGAAGAACGTGTAAGAGCTGCTGTGGGGTAGAGGAGAAGACTCCCATCCTGATCCTACCAGCACTGATTATTTTGTGTCTGGGTGATTACTCTGGGGACACAGACTATTTCAAAGCCACCAGAGATAGTGGGAGGGAGGGCAAGGAAATACTGGATGTGCAGCATTGTGGCTTTTAGCAGAAGAAGAAATAAACAGAGCCTATTAGTGTCCTCATTAGTGGGCCAGTTCCACAGCACTGCGGAAGCACGGCTGCTGCAGGAAGGTCAAATCTTCCAAGAAAAGATCTAAGCTTTGAGGAGGTATGAAGCAAGTAGCAACGCTGTTAGTTTGCACACGGAGGTCCCAGGTAGAGCCTATCTCCTGGCAGTAGTGTTTCATGAAGAGCGGAGATGGCTTCAGGCCTGTGCCTCAAATCCAGGTGCAGATGTTGCTTGTGCCTCCAAGCAGAGCTGCACAGAGGCATTTCAGTACCTGAGGCATGTGAATGTGATTAAAAATAGTCTGAAGTGGGAGGGGAGCGCGTCACCTGAATCACTGAGTAGCTGTAACCAGGGACTGTTAAAAGCAGATATATCTTACCCATTGGCACCTTATTACTTTGTCCTTGCATGGTTCTGCCTGCAAGCCAGGGAGCCCACAGTTGGTTTCTTAAGAGCCATCTTCTGTGATGACATGGTCCCTTGAGGACTCAAGCCTACGAGTGGCGTGGGTCCCTTCCGGCTGTCTCCATGGGCCAGAAGGAGAGAGATGGGGATGGCAGGTCCGTGGCTTGCAGGCCCAGGGCAGTGTGGCTTGCACACAGGCTGTGCTGTGCCTGGAAGGTGAGGCTGAAGCGTACGCTGGAAGGGGAGCCTGGAAGACCTTTTTAAGGACACTCATTGCGCACAGCCTGTGAACATTAATCAACTTCTTGTGCCAAGCAAGTTTGTTCTGGCTGACACAGGCACTGACTGCCATGTGTGCGCGCAAATCAAAGCAAGGTGACTTCCTTCCCCTGCCAGCTGCAAGCAACCTGCAGCACGTCAGGAAATGGGTCAAACCCACTGGTGCGTGAGCTGGTCCTGTGCCACCCCAGGCTGGTTAGAGTGGCTATTTCTTAGCAGGATGACTGTGAAAGGAGACTCCGCAACGTATAGATTTAGGGTGCTGTCAGTGCTGTGGCTTGGGTGCTGTGTTGGGTGCCAAAACCTCCTGGCTCACCCGTGTCCAGTGAGCAAAGCCTGTTGCAGGGACCCGCAGCCCCTGGGCAAGGGCCAGGGAAGGAGACGAACGGCATCTCCGAGAGGAAGCAGCCTGGGAGCCTGCACTCGGTGAAGCTTTGCCTCCGGGGTTTGAAGCCTTTTTCGGTAACAAGCCCCAGGATTTAATGAAAGCCAGAGGCTAGCTGCAGAGCCAGAGCGAGCTGCCTTTGCTGGGCGCCTGGTGTTGCGGCTTGGAGAGCAAGCAAGTGGTGGTGGTCTCGGTTCTGGGAACAAGGTCAGGCTGTGCCTGTTGTGGAAATGCAGAGGGGAGGTTTCTGGCACATGACTTGGTCTTAGCCAATTTAAGTGAAGATTGGAAATGGAAACAGATCTGTGTTGGTGACTCTGACAGCAACAGAAAAATTTGATGCTGATTCTGCTCCTAAATTATTTCATGCAAAGAAATAAACATGTGTGATAAATTACGACAAAGAGCCTTTTATAGATTGTTTTCCTGTCCTGTTTTCCTTTCAAAGAATTGCAGCTGCTTTGCTCTTATTCTCCACTACATACAGCACCCTTTAATTTGGGGGGGGGTGGGGAGGGATCTTTGTGTAGGGGATCCTTTCTGCTTGGAAATCTTAGGAGTATTTAGGGCTCTGATCTTTTGTTTGTTGGAGGATGGGAACAGCATCTTCCACATGCCTTGGACAAATGAGGCAGTTTGAGGTTTTCCTGGAGAACGTATTTTTAGTGCCTATATAATGCCCAAATATACCTTCTGATAGGGAAAACAAAGTTTAGCTTCAATAAAAATACTATTCTCCAGTTCTAGTTCTCAGTTCCTTGTTTTTTTTTTTTTCTCCACAGTTCTCTCAAACAGTCTTTGCAAGAAGGAGGAGACTGGATTTGATATTATTAGTGTGCTATCGTTTGTCATTTTAAAGTTATTTCCTACTGTTTCTAAGTGTCATAAAGATGTAAAAACAAACAAAAAAGGCAAAGATAGCTAGTTCATGCATGGGTTTTCCTTTTCTCATTTGGCAGAGTGGGGACTATCTCCAGGGAGAGACTAAAAAACGTTAAGAATCATTGAAGGTCTTGAAAACTCGCTATAGGGCAGATGAGGAGACAATCATCTGCAAGAGAAAACTAGGAGATGATTTTATCAGTTTGGAATGGCATACCTGCAGAAAGGGACTCCAAGAAGAAAGTTATGGTGTAGAAAAGTTACATGAGTTGGTATCTTTTCAGGCAAGACATAAAGTTAATTGTATGTTGAGTATTATTGGCCTTTAAGCAGCTCGAAGTGCTGGGACTTTCTCTCGTTTTAAGTCTTCTGGGATTGAGAATACCATACTAGTACAGGCAGAAATTACTGGGAGGCCTTTCTGGCCTGTAGGGATAAAACTAGACTGCGGATCAGACCTTTTTGGTGGTAGAAAAACAAAGAGCCTACTTGTTCTGCTTGTTTGTCTCTGTGGTTCTTATTTTTTCCAGCGCTCGCCACTGTAAAGACAGCTTGACAGACAAATAGGTTAGTAAATATTCTGCATGATTTTACTAGCTGGTCTTCAGAAGAGACCTACACCGGCATCACCAGTGGTGGCACTTGCAGTCTCAGAGGTTTTCTTTCTAGATCTGGATTATTTTTCCCTTTCTGCTCCTTCAGGTATTCTCAGGCTTTTCTTCCCCAAGTGCTCAATGGTTACAGTTGCCTCTTAAGATCTTATCCAATCCAGTGCATCTCCTCTGTCCAGTTTTGGTGGGTGTTTTTTTGGGTGGCTTGTGTGTGTTTGTTTTTCATCCGGCCACTTGCTTGGTTCCAAATAGGATTTTAGGAAATCTTGAGCCTTTCTAGGACTCCTGTCCCAGCGCAGACAGAAGCAGATTTGGGTTTCCTCTGAACATGACTGTTTGTTTTCAGGCCTGCTCTAAGTCTCTAATAACCCGTGGTGCAAGAGGCTCCACCTGGGAGTTGCTTGTCTGCTAGATGAGAAAGGCTTATTGTGATCTCTGTGACTCTGGGGAAAAACAGCCTGAGCCAAGAAGCAGCTGTATTTGTGGAGTTTTTGCCCTGCACCGAGCTCCCCAGCAGCAGCTGTTTGTTATCGTTTCTGGGGATAACATTAGGGTTTGGGGTATTTGAGATTAAACAAATGCCATGCCTGGCAACAGTGACCAGGCTCTTTGCAGCCTGCAGATATTTTACTCTGCAGATACTATTTTCTGGGATGCATATTTAGGCCACTGCCTCCAAGGAGAGATTTTGTGCCTGGTAACAGACCTTTGGATCCTTTGCTGTTTCCTGTCTGCAGCTCCTGAAAGCAGCCCGTTGGCAGCTCTCCCAGATGCAGGGATCTGGGGATGGGTGTGGGGATCCTTGTCGCAGAAGAGCACAGCGTTTTCTGCCTCAGTCCAGCGTCCGCTCAGGGATCTCCAGCAGCATCAGGCTCTGCACGTCGTTGCTGCTGTTCCCTGGCTGGGGTTATCTGAGGACCTGGAGGCTGCACTGCATAAAGCTCCGCAGTGAGACGGAGGGATGATAAACAGCCAGATGGATCCTAGAGTGTTCCTGCATAGGAATACTTGTATTGTAAACACCCTGATCCTGCCGTGACACAAGCCAGATTTGCTTGCCTTAAATGCCACTCCTGGGAAAGATGGATTTGTTTTCCAGTAGTGAAAGGGGAATCTGAAGAGAGCATTTGTTTGCTCAGATTCCATCTAATGTTTTCCAAATCATTTTGTTCAACATCTATAAGCAGATAAAATGGTGGTTATGCTTTCAGTCCTTCTAGGCACCTGCAGTGCCCTGCTCTGAGGCTGACGTGGTACTGATAGCAAAGTGAATTTGGGGAGGGAGTGAGGTGGAAGAGGAGGTGGGAGGGAAATCTATCTGCCTGAAGCTGTGTTTCTGCCCATCGCTCACCTTCAGGAGCATGGGCTGAGATCTCTGTAGCCTATGACTTAATGCTCTCCCTGTAATTTCCAGCTTGCAGGCCCTTAGGCAGTGATGGAAACTTGTTCACTTCTGGTAGCTTAAAAAGCTGCAGGCTTGGGGAAAGGGACTAGCAAAGAAAGAACGGGGCAGGTGCAATGCAGGACAAACATGGCTGTGCTAAAGGTAATGAATGCGGATTATGTGGTCAGTCTGGAAAGAAGCAACGCTGTTATGCACGTACATCTCGGATTGTAGATGCTGCCTGGCGGTAGAGACACCAACGCAGCCTGCAGCTCTTGGATCTCAGAGCGCTATCATGAAGGACTAAATAATCCTTATAATCCTTGAATAAAATTGGTTTCTGCAGCTTCTGGTGTCCAGAGGTGTCTCAATCCTGAATGCCGGGATCTTCTCAAGAGAGCTTCCTTCCCTTTTGTTCCCTTTCTTTCCCTTCCCTTGGCCACAGTGTGTTGCAACCAATTTTTCTTTCCCCAGCTGCCCAACATGTTTGGTGATCTTCGTTCCACGTTCATTGCTCTGATGATTGGCTCCTATGCTTCCTCTGCTGTTACTTTTCCAGGAATCAAGGTGAGGCTGTGGGATCATGATTCATGACTGGGACTGGTGTGCTGGGATTTTGCACTATTTGGCAATAATGTGGGAAAAAAAGAGGGACTGTTTGTCAAAGCACTTGTTAGAGAAGTGCATTTGCAAGATTCGGTTCCTGTCTGTTGCAGACTTCCCACATGACTGCCCCAAGTACTTAACAAATACCGTAAAGAGAATGGTCTGTTTGTTAATAGACCTTAAAATTTTGAAGGTGTTAAGTTTAAGGGTTTTTTTTGTTTTTGTTTTTTAAACATTTCCTTTATGAAAGGCTGCTTTTTTTTTTTTTTACTCTACCAAGTTCCCCAAGTTGACTGTAAGACTTCATTTATTTTTAATCTGTGCAATTGTCACAGCTGTTTGGCTTTGAATGCTGTTCAGAGTTAGAAAACAGTTGCAGGGACAGAAGACAGCCAGTAGGGCTGCTTTTGTAGAACTCTAGCTAGTTCTGGACACATGATGTTTCACTGCAGAGTTATTGTAGTTAGCATACAGTTACAGTAGGCCTTTCTCAAGTGCGCAGGGCAGTCTCTGTTGCCTTTCCAAAGAGTAGGTTTTAGATGAAAAAGCCTTGATGGCAGTGGTTAACGATACAGCTGCATGCCACTTCCTGCTGGAGGTCCTGTTGTTGGTGCTATCACCGTTATTAAAGATGGGCATATGCATCTCTTACTGAGCCTGCATGTCACAGAGCTCTGTTACTGTTTTTTATAATGCCGCACACTGCTCTTTCCCACAACTTCATTCTAAAATTCATCCAAAGCATATTGAAATTTCTTTCTGTTCTGATAGCAAATAACAATATTCTCTTGTGATTTGCAGGTTATATATGACTTTGGGGTCTCCTTCATCCTTATTCTGCTTGTCTGGGCAAGCTGTGCAGGATTAGTTTTCCTCAACTGTTTCTTCAACTGGCCCCTGGAGCCTTTCCCAGGTCCAGAGGACATGGACTATACGTAAGTGTCATCTAGACTGGTGCTGAAGGTTTATCCCATCCTTACTCCTCTAGAAAGTGCCAGCACAGCTAGTCTAGAGGTATGGGCAAGGAACTCTTTTGCCTGTTGTTAATCGTTGACGTTTCTTCTTGGGTTGGGGGTTTATATATGTCACTAGCTTTATATCTTGACTGGTGAATATCTCTGGAAGGCTGAGCCATCCAGAGTGTAGGATTTGTGAAGGAAAATAATCTGCCATTAGCAATAAGAGTTTCTGTATTGACCTGTGCCAAACTGGCCCAAGGGAAGTGTGTCTCTGTGCTGTGGGTCTCAGACCACTTGTGGGGTTGTAGATGAAAACCAGTGCCTGAATCCACCTGTTGCCTTTCTGACTCCTACAACTCTGCTATCTCTGATTTCCCCACCCTCTGTTGCAGCTCTCATTCTCTTTACTGCCCAACAGGGTGAAAATTAAGTTCAGCTGGCTGGGATTTGACCACAAAATCACTGGGAAGCAGTTTTACAAGCAAGTGACAACTGTGGGGCGCCGTCTCAGTGTGGGAAGCTCTATGAAGGGCCCCAAAGAGCTGACAGCCTTGCAAGAGAATAACAAGCTCTGTCTGTCCACGGTGGACCTGGAAGTGAAGTGCCAGCCTGACAACACAGGTGTGGTTCCCTGGGTACCTGAGGGATGCTTGTGCTGGCAGCAGGCCAATGGCACCTTTGTTGTGCTTCAGACCTGCTTATATGAGATACCATGTGATACATGATCCATGTCTTGCCAGGGCTGCATGCCAGCCACCATTCTTTAAATACAGGTTCAGTTATATAGAGAGTCCTGCCCTTGTATGCTTGCCTAAATACACCGTATGTTGCTGCCTGCGGTGAGGAATACAGCATGCATAACTGGTACTGCTACAGAAGGACAGCGTCTCTTAGGTACGCTGCTGCCATCATGACCAAGTCCTCCTTAGACAGGAGTATGGCGAAAGCAAAAGGCTTTTTGCTTTTATCCGTAGAATTAAGTGAGACTTCCTTCCTGCTCCCCTCTCCCCAGTTACGAGTAGCCGAACTCTAAGTATTTCTAGCCATTCATGAAGGAAGTTTGTAATGCACCCAGTGGTTGCGAACTGTGAACTCCTTGGAGTTGTCACCGGTGTGCAGTGTTGGTACAACTAGCTAGAAGGCCAGCTAACCCAGAGGCCAAAGCTTATTCTGAAATCGTGCCCGTTTATGATGAGATGTTGCCTTCTTCAGAGACGTTATTATTCCTTCTGCAGCTTCTCCCTCCTTCATGAAGAGTGTCTTCAGTCCTATCTTGTTGCTCAGCCTTATCACCATGTGTGTCACTCAGCTGAGGCTCATCTTCTACATGGGGGCCATGAATACCATTCTTGGGTTTCTGTCTGGAGATGAAGATCAAGGTAGGGTAACCTGAACACTTCTATCTGTTTCCTTGGAACTGGGACCTGACCCAGCCTTAGTCCTTGCAGGAAGCCGGCATGCCCGATTACTCAGCAGATACACGGTGTTTGGCAACTGCCAGTGCCAAGGTGCAGCTGACAGCTGCTGGTGGGGTCTAGCAGAGCTGGAACTGGCCCAGGACAGAGGGGCAGCGAGGCAGACACTTGAATGTCAAGCTAATTTTAGCACAGTGTTTGTTAAATACTATTGCATGTTATTTCCCCAGATGGGTTGTTGCGAGTAACCTCTCGGGACAGACTGTGATGATTTTTTTTCATTGGAAAACCTATTTCATCAGGTATTTGCTTTGCTTATCCTAAGCAAGCGCAAAGTACAGAGCAGCTGACTCTCATGACTAATGGTTGGACTAGGTGTCTTGGCCCAGCAGCGGGGGTGGGAAGGGTGAAGTCATTGCTGTTTTGTGCAGCTTGGTGTGTGCTGGAGAGACTCAGGGGCAGCCACTGCGCTGGACTTGTCTGTATTTATAGCACTGATTCAGTACATGGAGCAAACAGGAAAGAGTACATTAGTTTACTGCTGTTGAAAATACCCAGGATTGCAAAACAATACTTAGCCCATTTTTTTTGTCCTTTGTAGTAAGATCCAGTTTGAACTTGTTGAATCTGGATTGCGTGAAGCTGATAAATCAAGAGGCACTCCTCGGAAAGCAGGAGTGAGCTCTGGGGGAGGGAAGGAAACTCAGGAAACTCCAAGTGCCCTGGCATTCCCTGAATTGCTTTGTTTCTTGAGCCTTTGACAGCCTGCAGCATTTGGCTCTTTATCTCCTGGCTCAAGAGCTAATTTAGACATTAAATAGTAAACAGGACAAACTTCATGCTGCCTACCTTTCCCAGCACAGCTCAGTTTTCTGCTTACCTTGTAACTCTTTCCTTCTGATTTTTTGTCCCTTTCTTTTTACCCTGGCTTACTTTAGTTATTTTTCTCACTCCTTTTTTTCTTCCTTTTATTTTTCTTCTCCTCTTTGGTATTTAGGCTTAATGTTAAATACATATGCTGCTTATACTTTTTAGATCAAGCTCTGCGTTAAGAAAGGGGTTATGCCCCTTGGGTATATCATTTTTCTGTGCCACTTTTGAGATTACTTCCTTTCTTTTTTCTTTTTGCCTCGTTCCCTCCTCCTTACTGCAGCCTGGGCTGGGCTTGCAGTGCCTTGGTGTTTCCATGGCATCAGCAAAACAGTAGTATTATCTGGTGGCAGCAGTGTCGGGCTGCGTGAAGAGTTCCAAGAAGTGTGCAGATCTCTAAAAATCTAATCCAGGGGGATCAGGAGAGGATGGGACACTACTCCCTTGGGTGCCTTAGTTCTTGCTGGTTTTTACATGTACGTGAGCTTAGAGAGCTCCACCTGCAACTGCTCTCAGGAGTGCCGGGCAAGGGAAGAAGAGAACGGAGTCATTCTTGCAAGTAAAGTTAGTGTCAAAGAAAACTTAAAGATACCTAGGAGCAGAACAGGAGAGAAGGATGTGGGGAAAATAACGGAGAGAGTAGACTCTTTTAAGTTTTTGTCAGGCACTGTGTCCTTCTCAGTAGTCCTGCTTCCTGTGCATGCTACAGCGACTTAGACCAGCCGAGAAACCTAGAGACAGAAAAAGCAGTCAGCCCATGGCTGCTTATCTTCTGAAAACCCTCCTGAGATGGGGGAGAAGTTAAGGAGTTCAATAACAGTCCAAATGACTGCATAATCATGTTGTCAGCACCTCTCCTCTGTCTTCCTACCTGTTGTGTTTGGGATTTGAAATTTGACCAGGTCTCTCAAATTAACACCTTGCTACTAAATCTGGCAATACTTGGAGAACTGGGTGGAATCGAGGTGCGCTGGAAACCTCAGCTGTGCATGGTCCTTGTTCCAGGGCAGTTCCAGGTCTGAGATGATGATGTGTGGACAGGGAGCGTGTAGGGCTGTGCCCATGCTTGCACCCCTTTGCTGTTTGTTCTCTCAGGACCTCTACTGAACCTGCTGGTGTTTACTAGATATTGTTGTTCTTCATCCTGAGGAAAGAAAAATGGCTTTTAAAATAATAGACAAGCCAAGAGACTCTGTTCCTGCAGCAGCTACGCTCTCTCCTTTCTTTCCCTTCCCTTGCTCTCCCCATGAACTTCCTTCTTCCCTTCGAGTTGGCTTCTGTTCCCAGTGTTTAGAGCCCAAGACTAAGTGTTCGGAGTAGCATGAAGAAGCAACATTGACAATGTGGCTAGTTTCTTACTCTCTATTTAAAAAATAACCAGACAACAGCAAATCAGCTCCAGGAGTGTTTGCAGAGGGTAATACCACCTGTCTCTTGGCTACAGCAGCTGCTATGAGACGAGATGTGGGGCCGCTTCAGGGCTTGCCTGTGTGGTGGCAATGGGGGCAGGAACGGGAGTTTGGAGATAAGAGCTGGAAGTTCCTCTTAGCTTTCTGGCTAGTGACTGGAGCCAGGAACGTATCATCCAGGGCCATGCCTGACATGACAAGGGAGCCCTGCTGGGGTTTGCTGCGACCATGTAGGGAGGGAAGGTTTGTTGGAAACTTCTCGCAGTTATCAGATTAATTTTGCTATAGCTTATATCTGTATTGCTTTGGGATAGCTCTAGAGATGTGTAGGGAGGGACAAACTAAATTATTTTTGGTTATGTTTTGCTTACGGCGCTGTAACTTGTGAGCGCTCTGTGCTGAGATGGGCAGTTTCAGAATTGCATCTTTTTCTCAGAGCTGTGGTATGCTGACTCACCAGCTCTTCCGTGATGCCTGCAAATCCATCATGCAGGTTGTAGCGAGGAAGTGGAAAAAGCATTGCAGGGTGAGGGGAACCGTCTAGTAATAGGAGGGGAGAGTTTCCTCCAAGTCTGCATGCATCAGCTGTCCCATAATGATCCACGTAGACACGTCTATCTTTAATATGTGGGGAATTTTCATCAGACTGAAGAATTTTTCATGTTGCTCCTAGCTGTGGGAAACCTTACTGGCACTGAGCATTTGCTGGGGTGCCATCCCTGGAGACCTAGGTGCTGTTGGGCTGATGCTTGCTTCACCCATCCTGATGCTGCACTAGCATTTTCCAAGCAGCAAGCCCAGGAAGCCTACTGTAATGGTCTGCCTCTGAGAAGCTAACTGATGAAATGGGGCTTTGGTGTCTCAGCTCCTTCAGCGCTGCTGGATAGCCTGTGAATACCTGGGATCTGGGCTCTTAGTGAGAGAAATGATTGGTGGGGAAGAACTGTCTCTTTGCTGTCCTTTGTTCTGTAGCTGCTAGGGTACCACTTGGACTGATGTGCTTTTTTTTCTCCCTTTCCCTGCAGTGAGTCTCTACACTTCCATTTTTGGGGTGTTGCAGCTGCTGTGCTTGCTGACAGCACCCGTGATCGGGTACATCATGGATTGGCGACTGAAAGAGTGTGATGATGCCTCAGAAGAGAACGAGGAGAGCAATGCCGAGCAGTGCGTAGTGTGCACCCCATGGGACGTGCAGCCATGTAGCAGGCCCCCCCTGCTCTGCACAATATCAAACGTTGTAAAGTGATTTAGAGCAATCCTGATGGGGCAAAAAGCCAACAAATACAGCATCTTTATGTATCCCAGTATATGACTTGTGACCTAATCCACACCTCTTTGTGGCGTTGAGGGCTGAACTGGTATTGCGTATCCAGCTTTGAGACTGCCGTTTCAGAAAAATGTTGACTAACTGGAAGTCCAGAGGAAGGCAGTGAGCAGAGGTCTAGAAAACACACACGATTTGGGAGGAAAGACTGAAAAATTGTTTCTTTAGTATAGAGAAGAAAGCTTGAAGTCTTCGCTTTGTAACTGCAAAGAGGAAAGGACCAAACTCCTTTCCATGTCCACTAAGGTCAGTCAAGAAGAACAAAATTAAATAGTGGCAGGGGAGACTCAGGCTGTCCTTCTAGCCTAACAGTACGAGTAACCACACTGACATAATTGCTCGGCCTTTTCTCAACTTTGGTTGGTGGAGATTCCACCATCTCACCAGGCAAGCCTCTAGCCTAACTGGTTTAGATGGGGCTGATGCGGGATGTGGAAAACCCTGCTGTGAGTTGTGGTAGCTGCTGGAAGTGCTTTTTTGTAATACAGTTGTTGCTATCTTTCCAGAAGTGACAAGAAAAAGAAAAAACGTGATCGTCAGATCCAGAAAATCACCAATGCCACCAATGCCTTTGCATTCACAAATCTCCTGCTAGTTGGATTTGGAGTCACCTGTCTTATTCCTAACCTACCGTTGCAGGTGAATAGGTCGAATGGATGGATGTGCTGGAGGGGCTGGCAGCAAGCGTCCGGGTGAAGTGACCAGACAGTGCAGGGAGGTCCTGCACACCAGCAGAGCCAACTGATGGCGGGAGGGTTTTTTGGCACTGCTAAGAGTTTTGTGCTGTTAAAGCAAATAGTACAGTACAGCTTACATCTCCTCTTAAGAGAACCTAAAGAAGTAGCTATAGTTAAAACGACAGAGTTGACTTGCAATTTTTTCATACTGAGTTTCTGCATCTGAGCTCTGTAGCCACAAATACTTTCCTACGAAGGTCCTCTCAGTAGTGCCTGTGTGTTTAACCTGGGCCTGATTTAAGCTGCTGACTGTCAGAAAATTTGCAGTAGGGTGCATGACAGCAAGTTATTTTGCACCAAATGCTACCCTGAACTACGCCCACTGATACCTGTGGGATTATAAATCTGTTAAAATATTTGTTCTGTGGCACCACCTGTCTTTGTCAGAGAAATTTAGTGATTTTTACTCTATAGCTGAACATGCCTTGATGATGTAGTTTGCTCATGCTTGTGTATTGTCTGCAATAACCTGTGGAAAATTAACTGAATTGGCAAAGAGCTCAATAAAAAAGCATTATGACCCTGGCCAGGGTTGGTGGGCACTTTTTTTTTTTTTTTTTTTTTTTTGCAACAGTGCCAGCTGTGAATCAGATAGGTCTTGTGTGTGGTTAACCTCAGTGGGCACTGCATGCTAGCCTTCTCAAAGCAAGGAAATGCTCTGCTTTTAGAAATGAGAACAGTTTGTCTTTCCTTGTGCTGATCTTTAGGTTTTGGCTCTGGGCTCCTCAAGCCGGGCTTGGTGCTAGAAAGGAGAACAGCTTTTAGCAACGGTCGTGTGTTGGGGTCTGGCATGTCTAGATGGTATCTGGCACCTGACACTTTCTGCTTCTCTTTCCAGATCCTTTCCTTCATTTTGCACACAATTGTGAGAGGATTCATCCACTCAGCTGTGGGGGGCCTCTATGCGGCTGTGTAAGTCTCTGCTTATTTGTAGTGTATGACTGGCCAGGTGATCCTGTCTGGGTTGATAATTTCTTGAGGTGAGAGGGAGCTCAGGAAGTTAAATCTTCATGGACAGAGGGGAAAAACTGAAGTGACCTGCTTTTCTCAGTCAGGGCTGGATGTGACAGTAGCTGGACGGAAGTCCTAGCTGATGCTTTTGTTGTTTGGGCCTACAGCTAACTCCTTTGGCGTAGCTACTGCAGTAAGACGGGCACAGCTATATGTGAGCCTCAGGGGACAACATTAAAGTTATGTAGTAGAAATGCAAGGCTCTTTTTGTCCTACAGTAAGTAGCTATATGCATGCGTCCACATAAAACATGAACATTAATGGAATACATTGCTACTGGTCTGCTCTGAAATTACACTGGTAAAGCATTGCTCAAGATACTATTAAGGAAGCCTATTCCCTTTCCCAAGATGGATCATCTATCCTGTTTCCAACTTATCAAAGTTATCAATAGATTAATCTAAATGCTCTCTTCCTTATTAAGCAATGTTTTGATTCGCTGGCCTGTGGGTCAGGGAAAAAGAAAGAAGCTGTTGACCTTTCTATCAAAGGTTTTGGTCTTAGTGTCTGGAGAGTCCAAGCTAGAAAACCCATCTAAGACTTGGCTTCAAAAATGCATGAACTTTTGGTTCTATGGCAGCTAGAAGCAAAAACTTTTGTCCTAGGCAAGGTAAATGCCTGTTGTTGTACTTTTCAGCTTGCTTGTAAATTAATTCTGTCTGGAACTTCCTGGACTGAGGTATTTTTGGTTTGAATGTGACTTTTCTTTGAATATTCAAACTTGGTCCAATTCTCCTTTTCTGAGCTTAGTTTAACCTGACCCTTTTTAAACACTGCTCAGTCATGAAGAGAAAGATGGTGGACTGTTTCTGAGACTTATTTTTCTATCAATAGAATCTGGTATTCAGCACTTTCCAATCAACAGTATTGTTTAATTTGACATAGGATCAGACTTGTCCTCTAAAAAGGATAACGTGCTAACCTGTTGTGCAGGTTTCACTCCCTGCTAAAGGGAGCAAATTGTTATGGCCAGATGAAAATGATTGCTCAGCCGCAAGTGCTGTCTGTCATCTGGATAAAGAGGCCTTTTAACTAGTAAATATCAACGTTCTCCCTTTGCATTAGGAGCAGTAGCTGTATAAGCATTTCAACCTGTCGAATGTTATTGCAGAGTTTTGTTTTGCAGCTGTACCAAGTGCTGGATCTGACACTTAAGTTTTAAAGTTCATCATGAGAATAGTCTGGAGATGAGGCCTCTGGCCCCATCATCAGCTTCATTCTATTCTAGAGAGCACTGTGCTAAATGCCAGGTATGACTAAAAACCCTAGAGTAAGAGGGAGTTGCACAGAAGTCCAGGAGCAAAGTTCTTCGTACTGTGCCTCTCTTGGGACTGTGCTCTGTTGCGTTAGTCTATTGGGAATGTAATCTGATCTGGGTGTTGTGAACAGTCAAGGTGACACATAATAATTCTGCTGCTTTCTCTGATGACAGATACCCCTCTACTCAGTTTGGCAGCTTGACAGGGTTGCAGTCTTTGGTCAGCGCCCTTTTTGCTCTTCTGCAGCAGCCTCTGTTTATGGCATTGACGGGACCTTTGGAGGGAGACCCTCTCTGGGTAAGTCTTCCTCAAATGTGATGTGCAAGGTTGGTAGTGAAGATAGTTTTGTCTGATTTCTTTGAAAATAAGGGGGCTCCTTTGCACGAGCCTCAGTTACAGACAGCAAATTTTACATGCTCCTCAGTCTGCTCTTCCCTTGGTGTTGTCAAGAACCACCTTTTCTGTGTAAGTACTGAGGCCCTGGGAGGGAATGCCGTTAACCCCTCTGACGGTATATGGAAAAGGGAGGAAGGGAGAAGGCTGCTGGAGTGCTTCCTGTGAACGGGTTCTGTGTGGTAAGTATTATAAAATCTCCTTTGAGCTACTAGCTCTAAATATCAGTAAATTCGGGTTTGCTGATGTTGTCAGGAAAGCCAAATGACTATTGAGGGCTAGTGTGGTGTGGTGTCTGGATGAGAATCTGCCTGGGCAGCTCATTACAGTCATGACACCCGTGGTCTTGAGGAGAGCGAGAGTAGGCTACACGTGCCCACACCTGCATTCCAGCAACCTTAGGCTCTTTCTGCAATCGGCAGTGGTGGTGTAAAAGAACTACAGCTTAAACTGCTCCATCTCCTGCCTCTGAGGTTGAGAAATGTCAGTCTTGTAGACTGGCTGTAGCCTGTCATAGCAAGGGCTGTAACAGGCCTGCTTGTTTTGTGAAACGAGATTCCTTCGGCCATGATCCAGAACAACAAACTCTTGCAGCATTTATTTTATACACATGGTGCTCTGGTCACAGGAATATAAATAAAAATACAGCAGCAGCTGTTGCCAATACACTGAACAGGGCGTCTCCTGGATTGCCTGTAGCTGAGAGATATGGGCAGGGTTCTGACGCTTCAGCACGCATGACTAGGTTGTCGTCTTCCTAGCCTGCCTAATTTTGTTTCGTCTTTGTTCCTGCAGGTGAACGTTGGCTTGCTCGGTGTGAGCTTCCTGGGCTTCTGCCTTCCCATCTATCTGGTCTGCTACAGACGCAGACTAGAGAGAGAAAGAAAACAGAAGAACGATGATGCCAAACTCTTCCTCAAAATCAATGGCACACCTAATGAGGAAGCCTTTGTTTAAACTGGTGCTTTGAATACAACTTCCCCTGTACAGGTTCCTGCCACATCTGTGGGCTCTACCTGTGGTGTAAGCCAGGTTATTTCTTTCCTGGCTCTGCCAGTCTTTCCTCATCACTGGAGGAAATGCCATACAGCATGACTGAGCTTTCCTCAGATATACAGCAGGAAGAGACCTCCCACTCCTTACTCCAGAACATGGGACATTTTTCCTTTTTATAACGGCTACACGGTTATTGTGTCTTAAATTATTCCCTGGTCATGCTCTCCAGCAGCAGAGTCTCTGCTCTGAGGACTGGGGAGAGAAGGAATTGCAGGGATGGGGGAAGAGGGAAGAAAGACTGTAATCCGAGTTTGCAAATGTAACACACTGAAGCTTTTTTCCCCGCTTCTTCCCCCGACGTTGGCTGACGTTGTCTCAGATGCAAGCTGCGCTCTCCTCCCTTCCCTTAGGTTTGGCAGTGGCCTTTCTGCTTGATAGGTAGCTGGACCCAGTGGTTTTACTGTCTGTCCAGGCATATCCCAGACTGTTACTGAGGCAGGGAAGGGGATTTCTTCCTATGTGTATGAGCAGAACTTCAGTATATTGCTAGACGCTGGCTGCTGGTGTTGACAACTCCCAAATCCTTTATTATTACATATGGCACAGACTGTGAGCAATGGATCTGCCTTCCACACTGAAATGAAGAGCCTAATAGACTGCTTGGTCCTATCCCAAGCCTGCAAAGGCCTGGATTCCTCTTCTTCCTGGCCTGTAAACCATCTGTACATGTTGTAAACGGTCTGCAATCCTGAACCTTTCAGATAGGAATTGGATCTTGTTTACCGATGAAGTGCTTTGAGACTTGTTGCCTTTTGCTGCCTCCTCCCTCTGAAATGACCCTGGGAGAGGAGCAGCAGCTTGTACTTAGTAAGGTGGAGAAGCTTCTCAAATGTGGGTTCTGGGGCTCCACACACCTTGGTATTCATGTGCTGTGAGCTGACTTGCTGTCGAATCAAGAGTGCAGAACACTCCTTGCATCTGGTAACTGGATCCTGTGAACGCATGTCAGGGCAATGTGGCAACGTAATTCCTCCTTTAGCCATAGCCTATTTACGTTCTGATAATAACCCCTAAGCTGCTGATCACCAGCTGTACTGTTACTGACCAAAAAGCTGCTGGTTTGGCTATATTACGAGCCTTCTCCGATGTCTATGCTCTGTCTGGACAGAGTACATGGTGATTGATTGTATGGTGAAGCTGACTTAGAGCAATACATGTGGGTAAAGGTGCCCCAGGGTCTGTTTGCCATGGAAGGAATACAAAGGGAATTCTTGACCTGCTTATTTTTATATTGGTTTTCCTAGGTCTTGTCTGAGTAGATGTTTCTCCCCTTAACCTTCTCGATGAGGTCAATAGCTCAGCCTCCGTACCCTTGTAACGAGCATTAAGCACTGCACTGTTTGGACCTGCTCTGAGCAGGACTGTGCCGCATTGAGGATGAACATCACCAGCAGGTGTGCAGCAGCGGCTGGGCTGGGCTGGGCTGGGCTGAGCTAGTGGCAGCAGGAAGGTTGGAGGAGGGGGGGAAAAAAAAAAGGTTATGAAGATGTAGTGGTGGTGCTTTCTGAACTGCCAACTTCTGCATTTTCTGCAAAGCTTGGCAGCAGGTAGGTCTTTAAACTTCATGTCTGGTTGGAAAAATATAAGACTTAATCACTGTCTCATGAACTCCAAGTTGGGCGTCAGAAACATCAGTGCACCTGGACCTGCTGGTGAGAAATTACCTGAAACCTGAGCGTTAACTCCTATACTGATGGCTTGAGACATGCAGATGCTCAGCCCAGCCAGGTCTTCACTGTCCTAAATCACAAGCTTGGCAACCTCTTGCCCAGAGCCTCGGGAGAAATTGCTGGCTGTCAGAAACCCTGAGGAGCTGCTTGCTGGTGCCCTTGCCAGGACACAGTGACTAGGCAGCTTTGTGGGACAGCAGCGCCATCTCGAGTCACTCTCTTCAGACAGCTCCTGCGGGCAGTTCAGATGCTACTACACTCCATGATACCGTTTAGTCTTCAGTCACTCGTTTTAAAATGACTTGCCACTGAGTATTTTTGTGGATTTTTTTTTTAATGTGTTGCCTTTATTAAATGTGTTTGTTCCAAGACAGCCTTATCGCCTGCTGTCAACATGATGTTGTTCTAAAACTTTCGTTTTGCCTTTATAGTTTTGGTGAGGATTTACTGACCTTCCCAGCATTTTTTCCCCTTGTGTCAAGCAATAATTAGGGAGGCACTGTTCTGCTTTGGTTTCATGCTCATTTGCAATTGTCTCAAGTATGTGTCTAGAGATCCACTAGCAGTAGTTCAACTTTCCTGTATTTCCAGAGGGCTTTTTGCAGATTTCTGTGTTCCATATTGCTATACTTGCTACTTCTAAATGTTTTTAAAAGAACTTTCCTACTCCTGCTGCAAGATGTGTGACATGAGAAAGTTTTTTGTTGTTGTTTGTTTTTTTAGTAAAATTCCCGAGAGGTGGGTGTCTGAGCCACAGTCCTCAGATTCACAATATCTGAAAATGCAGACACGGTTTGAGGACCTTGTGCTAATTCGGCATCACTTCCACCTTGATTTCAAAATATTGAACATGGTATCTTCCATTCTGCCACTTGAATCCCTGGTATGAATGTCTCTGCAAAATAGTGGAATACACTCTGAATGGCATATTTTCCTGAAGGTACAGTGGAGATGCTGTTGCCTTTGAAGTGTGCACAGCTAAATTAATGGAGAACTTAGTTAACTAAATTAAATGGACAACACCCTTTTATTCCTGCCATCAACCTCCCTACCACAGTTCCCCAGTCCTGTCCTATATTAGGAATATTCTCCAATCCAGTTTTATCTGCTAAAATACTGGATAAATGTGATTAGTGTCTCTGATGTGCCACAGCGTTTAGAAGCTGCTGGTCTTCTGTAAGGAGAAGAGCATATGCCTTTGAGTCAGAGTTTCAGGCTCCCTTTGCAAATTCAGAGTAAAGCATGCCTTTGGCTTGCAGTCACACGGACTGATAGACACACAATGAAGCTTCAGTTGTCAGGGTTTAAATGGACAAACAGGAGTGTTTTCTCATGCAGTGCAAAGTCAAGCTGTGGAATTGCTTGCTGCAGGATGTTGTGGGGAGCAAAAGTATAAATGGAATTTTTTTTTTTTAAAGGGGCTGGTTAAGCGATGGTTAGATACATCCACTAATTCAGGGCAATTTAAAGTTGCTGTAAATCGGAAAGGTATGCCAAGGAATGATTACTTTTCCATGTGCTCTGTCTCTTTAAGAATATGTTACTATATGATGGAGGAAATATTACTGGGCTAGGTGGAATGCTGGCCTGATCTTGTAGGGTTCATTTTACTCTAATGGTTGTGGGCTAGACTAATTTTAAAGGCAATCTTGGATTTATCTATCACAGCTGTTAAGTGCATGCACAATGTGCATATACTCTGATTGTGGCATAATTACTTAAACCCTGCATCTTATGCAGAGGTGGGCCCCTGAAAGGACAACTATAGTATTCTGGCTTCAACCTCCCATGAATATTGTCTTGTATGGTGCAGAAAAAACATTGTCAAGACAATCCTGTTAAACATGACTGTCCATGGGCAGTTTGCCTTGTTCTCTGATACTTATGGAAACATAATCATAGATTACTTAAATCTGGAATGGAATACAGCATTTCTACTTTCCAGCCAGATGCTGCAGGGTGAAGAAAATTCTTGATGTACTCTTCTACGTGCATGAGCCACCTAGTGGAAAAAATAAATGGGCTACCAAAGGCTAGAGAGCCACATTAATTAAATCAATAATGCATTTACCTGTATAATTAAAATACAGGCCAATGTGTTTAACTGGTTTCATAATTTCTAAATAATAGAACTTGTAAAGTGTGGTTTTTTTGTTTTTTTTTTTCAATGCTCCTTCTCTCTCCTCTTTCTCCCCCACCTATGTTAGAAGTGCTGGGAGGCAGCTGTGGGAAAGAACTCATTTCTTCAGTAGAAGCATCCCTAACTGAATGTAATTAAACAGAAACCTGATTTGTGTGAGTCCTTGCTCTTTGTAGGAGCACTCAGTCTCAACGATGCTACTGTAAAAAGGTGATTGCACCTTCTGGAGTAACTGCTCCTAGTTTCTACAGAGCGCTCTCACACGCATTTAATAAGTGTCTTTATTTAGAGAAGATTGAGTGAGGAAGGGGCGGTGAGAGTGTTTGTTTTTTTTTTTTAACTGAGATGTCAGTATCTAAGACCCATCAACACAATCTTTATAGCACTAATGTAATGATGCTATCAAGAGTAGCAGAAGAAAATCTATGGTGTTTTGCCTACTAAGAGTCTTGTAACTTTATTATAATTGGACACATATGTCTGCAAAAAACAAGCAAATCTTTCTGAGAGTGCTATTGCAGTGATTGAAATGTTTAACTCCCACAGCAAAGCCTGGCCTCTTCATGCTCTGTCTATAGAGGAAAATTGTAGGATAATGAGATTTTAACTAAAACAGTAAATCACTAAAATGTTTTAAGTAGGAGGTTTCCCTCTTGACAAGCTGATGAATTTGGAAAATATGCTACAAAATATGAAGCAGATACTCTATAAGGGCAAAGAATGGAATCTCGAAACTACAACTTTTCTGTTACTTTTCCCTTTTTTTTTTTTTTAATTTATCTGCAAGGCTTTTGGTATTCCCTACTTCCCAGTTTAGAAGTGCAAAGTATTCATAATGCAAGCTAATATTACACTGGTATTCCTGATGGGAAGGGCCTGTAAAAACAGACACTTCTGATTATATTTCATAACCTTTATCTTCTCTGGAAATAGCTGAAGCAATGATGTACTATGTAGATGCATTCTCACATGTTAATTATAAACCCCAGAGGACCTTGATTTTTTCTGCCTTTGGTGTTTTGCCCGTCTTTGCGTGATCTGCTTTTCTCAGTGTCCTGTGCCGCATGCTGTCATCCTTCCTACTGCTGCTCATCGCTCCCCTGTGCCCAACTCCTCTGTCACTTGCTCTTTATTCTTGGAGCAATTCTTGCTTTCAGAATGCCCCCCTCCTTTCAGCCAGCTGGGATTAGCCTCCCCTACCTCCTCTTGTTCCTGCTATTTTTCTGTTCTGTATTGTATCTGTCAAAGTTCAATTGTAAACTCCTTGTGGCAGGGCTCTGTCATTTTATGTTTGTAAGGTGATGTGCACTCTTACAGTACTATCTAAAAATAAATGTGGTATTAAGTTAATTATTAGTTTTCCTTTTGAGGCCGAACATAATAAAGGTATTGCTTGGTTCGTAACGAGGCTGTGTAAGCATGGACGCTTTACATGGTATCATCAGCCAAATTGCTTGGCTGTGCTTTGAACAGTTCCTTGTCCTTTTTCTTTGCCAGGCAGGTGTTGACAGCCAGATTTCAATTAATCTCTCTTTGAGAAAAAGCTTAACCTCATCTTAATTTTATTTTTATTTAGATAGCAGCTTGAGAAGGAGATGAAGCTTAGTTAATACAGGGCAAACTGGTGTCAAACAGTGAAAGGTAAACAGCCACGGCCTTAGGCTGGGATGCGATGGAAGAGGTGCAGGGATGTCCACAGAAAGGCTCCACGTTGCAGTTAACTGTGCTTGAGCAGGGTGATGCTAAAGGTATGGGGCTTTATTTTTCCAATCAAATAAAGGTAATCTTTGCTGTGTATGATTCTAGTGACGAAGTAGTAAATCTCTACCTCTTTTTCCTGGCTGTGGCCCCAGGTATTTAAATAGAGCATAGATCACATAGAAGGTTTCTGTAATTGTCGTCTTCTAATAAGTATTTGGTGTTATCCTTATTGATACGCGTAGCCCAGATCGCTGGAGCTCTTAAGTAGCGCTGAAACTGAATGAGGACTTGCAAATGCAGTAAATCACTACGTGCCAGCACAACACAGCCCGGCTGCGCTCACGAACCAGTCAATCAGAGACGTTCCCATTATCTGACCGCAGGCTCCAACTAGCCACCAGCTCCTTGCGTTCACGCTCACCGTGGTTTAACGTTCCCCATCTTTCCCACCCCTCCC